TTCTTTGCACAGTAATATCTTTTGCAAATACGTTTCTTTTAAATCTCTGCAAATGGTACAATTTTGGCAACTAGACTAAATTGTACCGCGGGGTTTCCTAAATTCTACCGCGTTTCTTTTTTACGTATTGATATGATTAATTTAAAAACTGTGAGGGAATAAAAATAAAATACAAACAATTCAAATAAATACGTTTTAATTGAAATCGCAGTTAGTGCAAAAGACTAAAAAATATTTTTTAACTAAAAACAAATATCAAAATTACGGAAATGAAATATTTTTGTTTTTAGAAACTGAACCAAGAAATTAGTTAAGATTACAGCTTTTATAAAAAACTAAAAAGAAGTTTTTAATTAAAAATAAACATTAAAACTACTCATTAAATTAATTATTGAAATTATATTTGTTTTTATATAAAGTTTATTTTTTACGAAGGTATTGTTTTTATATAAAGCTAATTTTATATTCATAAAATCATTGTTCGACCATGTAACTAGAAATTGCAAAATTTTTCTGTTACATCCATGAAATCAAAATTATAAAAATAAAATATTTTCGTTTTCAGAAACTTAATTAACAAATAAATAACAATTTTTTAAAAATCTGTTTTTAATTAAAATATAAAATAAATGTAAGTAACACAAAGAAAAAAGCTAAATTTCTTCTTCTATAGACTTTAAAAACAATAATCATAGATGTTTTTTTTCTTTCCATAGAAATTCCCAAATTATACTCTTACAATAATATAAGCAATGAATAGATGATACGATTAAAGAGACTAGTCATTGCTTCTCAAATTATGCCAGTAAAATATACACAGAGTAAGGTTATGTCCAAACTGCCATACTGCAAATATGTCAATTTTAATGCAGTATAAAAAGCAGTTAAATTAATATACATTTAGAAGCTTTCAAAATTCCTTATGTAAAAGCGGGTAAAACTTACTTCTAAAACTAATCTCTAAAGAGAATCTTTACTTGCTTTTTTTAACAAGACACTTTCGCGCGTAAACACTTACTTCCTTCTATTATCTTTATGACGATAGATGAACCTCACATAATATGCAGATGGCGCTGGGCCTTCGGGTTCTGTGAAAACACAAAGATGGTACAATTTAGGAGCCGGTACAATATCGATGATTTTTCTCTACACACAGTCCTTTATTTTCTCGAAAAAATTTGCGTTCTTTGCGCTAATGGGACAAAAGAAAAATACCGCTAGGGAACAAAGGAAAACCCCATGAAACCTTCCTCCGCATGGAAACCAACAACGTAGAAGCACTTTGTCCGATACACATGCTAATGCTGGTTAATGGCGCATCGATGGAAACTCATTAAGGGGCAAAAAAGATCGAAGCTATCCTTCCGACATGGAAAGCTTTCATCCTGTCCCGCGGTGCCTGGAAATCTTCGTTTTTCGTGGCCGTGATTCCGTGTCAAAAAGAATAGAATTCTCCCCGTTCGATTCGTGTGTTCCGGCGAGTTGCGATAGCAATTTACCGTTTCGCGAAGATAGATCGTGGAGAGATGGCTCTTTTTTATCGGAAAATAATGTTCCTATAGCAGATCGGCGCGGTCGATTCGCGGTAACGGGGACAGTCGAAAGTTTGGTAGGCGCATAAACATCGGTCGTCGGAGTAGCGTGCCACCCCGGCTTTCGGGGTGAGTACTTCAGATTTATATGCGTTGAATCGGATGAATCGTTCCGCGAGTTGTTCCGATCGCCATCCACCGCGCGCGGATGACTCGTACTCCACTTTGAAAATAAAATGTCCTGTTTGCATGCGAAAAAGAGAGAGAAAGAGTTTACAAGCTGTTTGTATACTGTGGAAAACTTTCGTTTCACTCAAGGGTTACTTTGGACAGAGAGTCATTAGGAACGATTTGAGGGCTTGTACCTTCCCTTTCCCAAGAGAGCAATTTGAAGGGAACTCGGGCGACAGTTTAATGACGATATAAATTAAATAATATCCCATCCTGAAACTTTTGAGAGGGAATTAATAGCGCTCGATTGAACGTGCTTTTTCTGTGTGCGCTAGAGTCATGCTTGCAGCGAGCTTCCAAAGCAAATATTGAAACTTTTAAATTAAATATGCGAAATTTTTCGCGTTAAATATCGCGTCTGTACAAAACACGTTTTCCACATGAATCGGAAAATTCCGCACGGATTGGCGTCAACGATATTTTCCTCTTCCAATTCTTGTCCACTCCAATCAGTCCTGAATAAAAATCTGCGTGAATGAGCGGCAGAGATCTCCGATGGAGCTCAACGGGAAACTGTGTTATGATTTCTATATTTATAAATAAAAAAATACAACAACAAGGCACGCAATTGTCCGTCTAATTGCGTTTAAGCGCTAAGCATTTATTGGGGTGTTCGGAAAGTAATTTCGGTTTTTTTGCATGAAAATGAAAGACGATATTTTTAATAGAAAGAAAAGTTTTATTCCTTCAAATATTGGCCATTTTGTTCTACCACCTTTTGTCATCTTTGAGGTAATAACATGATTCCACGCTCGTAGAACTTCTGGTCCTTATTGGCAAAAAACTGAATTAAGTGGTTTTTGACACCTTCATTTGAATTGAAATTTTTATCATCCGAAGAATTTTGCGACCGGAATAAATGATAATGATACCAGATCAGGTGAATATGGTGGACGCGGTAGCAAATCCCATCCAAGTGCTAACAACTTCTGACAAGTCATTAAACTTGTGTGAGATCTGGCGTTGTCATGATGAAACACGACACCTTACTGTTCGCCAATTCTGGTCTCTTCCGCTTGATGGAATCATTCAATTTGTCCAATTGATGACAGCACACATTCGAATCAATCGTTTGGTTGCTTGGTAGCGACTCAAAAAAAACTATTCCTTTCCAAGCCTGTTAAACAGAAAGCATCACCTTTTGACGGATATCAGCTTTCGATGTGCTTTGGGCTGGTTCATTACGTCTGCTCTATGATCTTTTGCCTAATGTTGTTGTACAAAATCCATTTTTCATCTTTAGTTATGAGTCGCTTCAGAAATAAATCGTTTTCCTCATGTTTCAACAGCAAATCGCAGGTGGTAATGCGACGAATTAAATCTCTTTCTTTGAGAACGTGTAGAACTCAAATATCTAGCTTTGAAACGTATCCAAGTTGTTTCATATGCTCCTGAACGGTCAAATTCGATAAATTCAATCTTTCAGCAATTTCTCATGTTGTTAAATGACAATGTGCGTCCACTAACGCTTTTATTTGGTCTTCATCAGCCTCAACTAGCCTTCCAGAGCATGGTGCATCTTTGAGATCGAAATTCCCAGAACGAAATTTCGAAAACCAATTCTGACACTGGCGTTCAGTTAACACATCCCCTCTATACACGGCACACGATTTTTTCCTTGCTTGCGCTGCATTTTTGCTTTTACGGTAATAAGCAAAATGTGACGGAAATGCTCACGCTGGTTTTTCATTTTTCATACAACGTCAAACAAGAACAACTGACTTGACAGATTTCAAAACAACTGTTTTTCAAATGAACCTTAAAATATGCGTTGTAAAAATGTGAAATGATTTTCTGGTTTAGAATGAGGTTAACTGCTTAAAAAGGCAACCTAATACCATCTATTTGAAGAAACCGAAATTACTTTCCGAACAACTCTTCTAAAATAGGAGGTAATAACTTTTTTTGAATAATTTTAATACGAACGTTATTTTGACATACGAAGCAGGGAATTTTTTGAAGAAATCAAGCCTCAAAAAATTTCAAATATTAATGATTATTATTGATATAAAAAAATATTTTTGATGTTTAACAGTTTGTTGGGGTCCACTGGACCCCAGGTGTACAGTAAGGGTTAACCAAGCCGATAACTAGCCGTGGCGGCGCTCACAATACGCGTTGATCCTTTCGTTCTGCGGGCAACATCTCATTATTATCCTGGTAAACAGGAAGCGTTTATCATGCCGCGGTCTCCCATCGCACACCGTTTCACGTCTGAATACCCCATCTGCTCACTCTATTCGTATCTGTCGAGCAGCAAGTCTTGCATACCCGAGGACCGTTTGTCCGGCTTACCGGGCTCGTATCTTCCGCCTGTGTATGACGCAACTAGAAGCTTGCGGTTTGCCCGAAATGTTGCACAGGCTGCAGTTTCTGACGAGCAACAAGGGCTTTCGCGGGTCAGCATAGGACACGAGAGAGTGCTTCCTCTCTGTCTCCGCGTCTCCTATCTCTCTCTCCCTCGCCCGGTCAACAAAATTCCCGAGCCATTGTCGGAATGCGCGACGAGCAAGATTATTTCCAGCGTCAACGGTGACTGCGGAAAATTATCACTTCACCGGCAGCGATGCCGCGCTGTATCGTTGCCGCAGCCGCGTCTCCGCGCCGGCTGAGCTGCGAAATGATGTGGCACGGCGTTTCGATTCAGCCGCTTCCGATCGCGGAAATTACGGCTGAAAGCAGACGCAAATGTTGAATTAACTCTCACACGCGCGCGGACTTGAATATCGCTCGGCTCGGGGCTTTTTCCGCTAGCTGGCGGCGAGGCGGGCAAATTGGAAAGCTAGGTCGGAAAATTCAAGCCGGCATCGTTCGCCCGCCGCGCTGCCTGTCGTTTTGATACGGCGGGAATATTTTCACCGATGGGGCTTCTCTCTCACAGCGCGGAGATTCTCGCGGGCGCGATCTCAATGTGGTCCTGCGGCGAGAATCGCTGCTCGCGATCGAACCCGGATTGACGGCGATATAACGACGGCATTCGCTTCGGCGGTACGTCGGAACTGCGAACTGCAAATGGAAGGTAACGGAGCCGGCGATGGCGATAAAAGTTGCGATACAGCGACGCGATATCTCCGCTTTACGTACTCCACCTCTCTCTCTCTCTCCATATCTCTCTCTCTCTCTCTCTCCCCCCCTCTCTCTCTCTCTCTCTCTCTCTCTCTCTTTCTCTCGGTGATATCGACTCGAGCCGTGCGAGCGTATTTTTGCTAACTTTCCCGATCTCTCTGTGTGTTTCAGATTCCACTCTCCGAGTTGACAAACGACCTGGCGAAGCGGACGAGGCGGAGGAGAGAGGGAGGAGAACTTCTCGGTCAAGGAAGTGAAGCGCTCGCACGGATCTAATGATCTCCGGACGGGCGATTGGCAGAATGACGTCAACGTCACGTATGTTATCCCCGTCGGCGGAACAAACTTTAGCCACGCTAGTGTCTACGTTATTCCCCGCGAGAATACGAAGAAGATACTTGTAATCCCTGTTTCTAATAGAACACGAGAAGCCGAGACTGCGGTTAATTGGATTCTTCTGTGAAGGCTCGCAGGAACGGCGAAAAAGTCCCTTCGAGGATCCCAATTGCGTGTGTGCATGTGTGTGCCTATGTGTGTTTGTGCGTATGGTTTGTGCCGGTGCGCCCATCGAAGCGGTTCTCATCATCATCGGCCCCCAACGGAAAGAATACCTATTGTCGTCCGAGCAGAAGAGACCCGCGCTTGATCACCTCCGAGAAGAGTCACAATGATGAACGCAACAATGGATATGATCGATCTGTTTGAGAACCTTACCTACAACCACTCGACGATCTCGCCGAACTGCGAGGCCAACCTGCCGATCATCGCGCTGGTGAACCAGGTTCTCTACTCCATCGTCTGCGTGGTCGGCCTCCTCGGCAACACCTTGGTCATTTACGTGGTGCTGCGCTTCTCGAAGATGCAGACCGTCACGAACATGTATATCGTGAACCTCGCAATCGCGGACGAGTGCTTCCTCATCGGCATACCGTTCCTCGTGACGACCATCAGCCTGCGCAGCTGGATCTTCGGCAAGATCATGTGCAAGGTGTACATGATCACGACAAGCATCAACCAGTTCACCAGCAGCATCTTCCTGTTCATCATGAGCGCCGACCGTTACGTCGCGGTATGCCACCCGATCTTCTCGCCGAAAATACGCACGCCCTTCATCTCCAGGGTGGTGTCCCTCAGCGCCTGGGCCACCAGCGCGCTCTTCATGGTGCCCGTGTTTCTCTACGCGAACGCCATGGAGTCCCTGGAAGGTGTGGTGAGCTGTAACATTTATTGGCCGGACGATCACGGCGGCCAGACCACGTTCACCCTGTACACCTTCATCCTCGGCTTCGCCGTGCCTCTGTTACTCATACTCAATTTCTACTTCCTGGTGATCAGGAAGCTACGCACGGTCGGGCCGAAGAACAAATCGAAGGAGAAGAAGCGCTCGCACCGGAAGGTCACCAAGCTCGTACTGACGGTCATCACTGTGTACGTGTTCTGCTGGTTACCTTACTGGGTGACTCAGGTCGCGCTCATCTACACCCCGCCCAAGCAGTGCCAAAGCAGCATCAGCATCACCAGCTTCCTGCTGGCCGGCTTCCTCAGTTACAGCAACAGCGCGATGAACCCTATCCTCTACGCTTTCCTCAGCGACAACTTCAAGAAGAGCTTCCTCAAGGCATGCACCTGCGCCGCTGGCAAGGACGTGAACGCGGCCTTGCACATTGAAAACAGCGTGTTTCCACGCAGGCACAAGGCCAACGTCGACCGGCTGCAGCCCAATCGGATCATCACGTCCGGCCAGTCGAGACTGGAGCTCGAGGACGAAGACGCCGAGAGGGGACTGCTTATCAGCAAGACCTCCACCACTACAGTGACCATGACGTCGCGGTCGAACATCACGGTTAGCAGCGAGCACAGGGACCCGACGCAGAGGGATAAGGATCTCGTGAAAAATGGCGCACAGCTGACTCTTTTGACGCAGGTCTAAAGACCCAAGCGACGCACGCGGCTTTTCCTTTCTCTCTCTCTCTCTCCTCCCCTCTTTCTCTCCCCCTCCCTCCCTCCCTCCCTTTCTCCTTTTCTCTGCGGATTGCGGAAACGATTGAATCGCCGGGGCTGGCATCTGGATCCCGCGATTGCGCCGATAGCTACACTACCCTTAATTACTGCGCTCTCACGGTCACCATAGTGAGTCGGGTTGTCTAGATTAAGCGCGACGGAGCTTATGAGGATGCACTCGAGGAGGCGCTGTCGACGGATGTCCATGATTGAAAAATCACTTCGAAAGGTTTCGTACAGCGCGACGCAAGGTCGAAATATTCCCGACGAGAGAATTCATGCAACGGCACGCTTTTCGTAGGCGGATGAGTAGGACGCACGTGGTCGAAAGGTAGAAGATCAATTTCACCAAAAGAGAGAGAGAAAGAGAGAGAGAGAGAGAGAGGGTTGATAGCCTAGGAATATCTGCGGCGATCGACGCGAGACGAGTCACTCGGGGCGAGTTCGCGCAATGCTCACGGAACGACAGTGCTAAACTTGAAGAATCTTGGCGAGTTTCTTCTGCCTGATGGTTGTACTTGCTGACGGGTGAGGCGCCATTTACAACGTCGACGAGAGCCACCCCAGACAAGCCGAAGACACCGCGCTCAATTCCCCGCGCAACGACCTGCTCGTCCAGTCAAGATGCTGTTCCTTCACGATAGATGAGGGAACACCGGAGAGAAGATGAACTCTAATTCTTCATCCGGTTAACTCGGACTCGTATCGCTGGACCGAGCATGAAAGGTCACAGTGATCGATGACCGTCTCATTTTGGCGGACTTCCGAAAACACCGAAAGCCGTGGTCGCTGAAAGAGTTTGTAGAGAGAAATAGAGAGAGCGGAGGGGGGGTCGATATTCTCTCTCGGACATTGATCTATGGACTCTCGCGTGTTCTCTCCGTGAAGAGATTTCGTGATTACTTATCCGCGCGTTTTTGGACAAACGGCGTCGAGCATGTTTGCCTCGATTCGTCTTGCGTTCTTTCCCCCCCTCCCCCTCCCCTCTCTCTCCGACTCTCACGCGATAAGATGTAACAATTATCGTGTATGTAAGCGGGAGGGAGGGGAGGTAGGTAGGATATATTCGTTAGATCTGGTCGCTCGTACGACTATTAACGTTCCATTAGCGCGTACATAACAATTCGCGCCGAGCCGTCATGAACAATTAACGGATCGTCTTAAGAGTGCGCCGTGTGCCAAAATAAGCATCGCTCCATTAACGCGGGACGAGAAGGAACCTCACGCAAGGGGTCGCGAGTGCTTTCGCGAGGACTCACGAGCGAGCGCCTGCTCGATTCGGTGCGCTGCGTGGCCTAAGTAATAATGTCGAAGTCGCGGGGAAGTTACATGCGGCCCCCCTCGCTCTCTTTCCCCCTCGCGCAGCTCTCGCGTCTCGTTGTGTGAACCCGCGGCCCTTTCTTTACTTTCCCTTAATGCTTCCTTTTATTATTACGTCTTCTTTCGGCCACCCGGTAAGAAGACGTACAAAATGGCGGGGATCGTAGCAATACTTAACGACTGTAATTGCGAGCGATATATGTATACAGGGTGTTTATAAGAAGGGCTCAGGACCCTAAAGGCAGATAGTACTCATGAAGTGGAGGAAGAAAGTCCTAATAAAAATGAGTCGGGGAATTAATATTGTCGGAGTTGGAAACAATTATTTATTTGAATTATAGCAAGTGATTTCGCTTCTGGTGCTTTTCTCTAATGTAATTTTCCTGTATTACTGAGCAATTGTTAGTCAAATATTCTCACGAACAGTGAACAGTTGCAGAGAATTATTACAAAATTCTTACAATATTCTAATACTAGGTAAGAAGATGTGGACATCGTATTACTCTAACGAAGAAATGGCAGAAATGCATTCCTTATACGTTCGTGCACTAGAAGCGAGTAAATCACTTGCTTTAATTAGAATAAACAATTATCCATAAGTTCGACAATATTAATTTTTTAACTCATATTTATTAAAACTTTTTTCCTGCATTTTGTGAGTATTATCTACTCTTAAAGTCTTTTTTCTTATACACTCTGTATACAGGGTGCTACATTTCAAACATAACAGGTAAAAATCTCGAAAACTATGAATGATATTAAAAAAAGGTAAAATACGTGTTCCATAATTTCGAAGGAGAAAGAGAATGGCATTATCAGTTTCTTATTTGGAGAGCATTTTCAAGGTCAGTTGAAGGTCAACTTAATTTTTTTAAATAGGAAGCCCAATTTTTTATTATATTTTCTTTTTCTACCGATCAATTTGAACAACTTTTGTCTGAAACATTTTTTTATTTGCCTAATATTTTTTGAAATATTTAAAGAGAACTTCGTAACTTTTTCAACATTTAATTTACGATATCTCGCTAACCATTTGACGAAAGAAAAAATAGTATTAGACGTTTTTACTTTATTTACTATCAAGAATATATTACTATAATAGTCCTCTAACTTTTATTAATTTAATAATTTTGAAATTTTCAAAGGTCGGTAAGTTAATAAAAGTTAGGGCACTATTATAGTAATATATTCTTGATAGTAAATAAAGTAAAAAAGACTAATACTATTTTTTCTTTCGACGAATAGTTAGCGAGATATCGTAAGTTAAATGTTGAAAAAGTTACCAAATTTTCCTTAAATATTTAAAAAAATATTAAGCAAATAAAAAAATGTTTCAGACAAAAGTTGTTAAAATTAATTGCCAGAAAAGGAAGATATAAAAAATTGGGCTTTCTATTCTAAAAAATTAAGTTGACCTTCAATTGACTTTGAAAATGCCCTCCAAATAAAAAACTGATAATGCCATTCTCTTTCCCCTTCGAAATCATGGAACACGTGTTTTAGTTTTTTTAATATCTTACATAGTTTTCGAAATTTTTTAACTGTTACGTTTAAAAATTAGCACCTTCTATATAGAGTGAGACGCCTAAAACAGATTAACTGAATAATTTCGAAAATATGCAAGATAGAAAAAATGTTAAGCATAAAACTTGTAGGGTTTTGAGTGATGCATCACACAACAATACTAGTATGACCTTGAATAGTGTCATTGAAGTTACGAGAAGGTACCTTGAGTTTTTTAAACGGAAACTTCCATTTTTTATTGTATCATCTTTTTCTCCCAATTAATTCGAACAACTTTTGTCTGAAACATTTTTTTACTTGTCTAATATTTTTTAAGATATTTAATATTAATTGGTAACTTTTTCAATATTTAGCTTACGATATCTCGATAACTGTTTATCAGAAGAAAAAGTCATACCAGACCTTTTTACTCTATCTGGTCTCAAGGATATCATGTTACAATTCTGCTCAAACTATCGTTAACTTTATGACTTTTGGAAATTTTAAATAGTTACAAATAGTTACCGAGATATCGTAAATTAAATCTTAAAAAAGTTATCAAGTTTTCCTTAAGTATCAAAAAAACACTGGGAGAATAAAAAAATGTTTTAGACAAAAGTTGTTTAAATTAATTGGTAGAAAAAATAATATAATAAAAAATGAAAGTTTCCATTTAGAAAAAAGTGGTGGTTAGTGAATATCTCAAATATCTCGAAAGTGGAAACAAAATGATATCGCTCTGTCTTACGTCCCATTTTAAACCAAACAATTTTTGTCCGAAACATTTTTCCATATCTTTTATATTTTTCGAGACTTTTGAGTGTTAAAATTAAAATGAGCCACCCTATATATATATATATATATATATATATATATATATATACATATATATATCTCTCAGAAGTCGCGTTTCTTCGACACAGACTCGTTCCCTCCAGTATATTGGCTCTCTTGCACTTAGAAAATGGATGGTCGAGGAGCACCAAGATGAAATTCTTAATGCGAAGGTACTCGCAATGGAAGACCGCAGCTTGACGCGTTTGTCGTGTTATAAAATGTAACACTCGCCGCGCTTTTATGTCGAGTACGTGCGCGTTCCTGTCGAATGCTCGAGCGACGTCGGCTGGAAATTGTCGGAAGCATTTCCAACGAGCCAATATATCTATCGCCGGCGCTGTATGTACGCGTCGTAAGGCACTCCGAGCACATTTGCAGGCATCGCTGAATCGTCGAATTTCAACGTTTCGGCCGCTCAACATTTCGCCTCGTTTGTTAATCAATCGAGCGGAATGTGCGTCGACTTCCTGCGAAGCTACAAGCCGTACATGCTATCGAAACATGACTTTTTTATCGAACCTATTTGAATCTGTCGATGCAAGTGGAAGCGCGCGCCTTTATCACTCGCATTGCGCTCCGATCGTTGTTTTTATCGCTTTTCTACAGGACCTTCCATCCGGTTTTTTTGTTATCTTTTCATTTATATGTTGAAATTTACCAATCATACAGAGTGACTTCTCAACGCGATCGAATGACCAATTAAAAATAACGACGCGACGCGCGTGTCGTCAATTTTCGATTAAACTAACCTATATGTACAACCCGTCTCTGACATATCGATCTTTAGGCAACAATGAAAATCGAAACGACGTCGCAGCACGAAGACGCGTTTACGTAACGCAAGAACGTGGAGAGAAAATTGCGTTCGTACGCGACGTTTCTCTCCTATACGACGAGTAACGTGAAACGAAGTGCGTGAAACTGGTCGCGTGAAAACTGATTCCACGGTAAGTTATTACAATGCACCGTATATGCCCCTCATTATAGGCTGCAGAATCTGTAAACTAAAAGAGAGATACGCTGATTATCGTATGCTTCTGTACTCGCTCTTCAATCGTCCCGTATCCTTTGATCAGCCCTCTCTCCGACTCCTCCCGCCCTGTTTCTCTCCTTCTCTCTCGCGTCTCATTTCTCTCTACAGGAGAGTTTCATCCTGTGTGCCTCTGTAGATGCAAACAGAATTCTTATTGGAACCATTCGATCTCATTACGCGCGGGAAATTGCGTTTTATTTCACGTCTTGGTTTTACTATAATAACTTCATAATCACGTCGCGCTGCAATTCTGATCGTTCCATCGCTTTAAGACTTAACGCGGTAATTGGTAAAAATGGCAAACGATGAAGCACATTTTCTCCTTCGCTCGTGTTTCCTTCTCACCGGGAGAAACGGTCTGTTCCTCGTAATATACACATATACGTGCAGCAAGTTTGAGTATCGATTATATTAGGTTATTAAGTATATGACATGTCCGATTTCGAATCAAAAGTTTGATTTATTATTTGTCAAACTAGAAATGGTATAATTAATCAAAGTGCGCCTAAACTATCGATACAGTTCTGCCATCTTAACGGTAGCTTATTTATATCATCGGCGAAGAAACCTAAAGAGCGGCTCACGATGAAAACATGGAAGGCGTTTTCTACAGCTTGCTGAGAATTGAATATTTTTCCTTGCAAGAAGTGGTCAAGTGTCTGGAAGAAGTGGTCGGTGGAAGGTCCGGTGAATCCGATGGATGATAGAGAGTCTCCAAGTCCAGCTCCTGTAATTTGAACAACGTTGCTTGTACGAAATGTGGTCGAGCGTTGTCTTGCAAGATAATTAGTCTATCTCTATTGATTAATCTCGGCATCTCGATTGCTTAATCGCAAGCATCCTTATTTTGTCTAGTTGGTTACAGTAGACATCCCTTGTAATCTATTGACCAGGTTTCATGAAGCTAGATAATATCAGCGCTGGATTACCAAACAGATACCATTAGCTTTCTTTTGTGAAAATTCGGTTTCGGACTGTGTTTCGGCACTTCATCTCCATCTAACCATTGTTAGCCGGACGCTTGCGATTATCGAAAAGAATCCATTTTTCATTATACGTAACAATATGAAAATGAAAAGGAAAAATGGCTCGCCTGTATATCGTGATAATAAAGAAAAGCAAGCTCCGAGACGATTTCTCTTCTGACGTTTGTTTAACCCTTTGAGGCAATTTGAGGCAATAGTGATAAGTATACTTATCACCTATTTATTCTGACATTTTCATAAAATATTGTATTTCATATTTAAGGGATTCGTGTCAGGTTTTCTGCGTTTTTTAGCTTCTTATATGATATGGGAACATACATGAAAGGTTGAAAAGTGTTTTGCATAAGTTGTCCACTTATTATAAATAAACAAAGCGTGGAAAATACAAATTTTTACAGAAAAAATTCATTTTCCACGAACTATGAGTGAATTTTTTTGCTCAAAATCGAGATTTAGGGGTTTCTTGGGTCGCTGATTACGAATCTGAGGTCCAAATTCCATAATTAATTTTCCAAGATGGCGGATTCAAGACGGCGGATCATAGAATTTTTATTAAATTAGCTAAAATTGTACTCTGATTAGTTTTTGAGGTCGCTAATTACGAATCGGAGGTCCAAATTCTAAAATTTATTTTCCAAGATGGCGGATCATACAATTTTTATATGATTAGCTGAAATTGTACTTTGGTTAGCTTTCAAGGTCGCTGATTACGAATCACCGATGTCACCGAAATTATCGCAGTTTTTCATATTTGTGACCGCCATGTTGAATCCACCATTCGAAAATCTGATAACGGATTCGTCATCAGCGACCCCAGAAACCCCCGTATATAAATTTTCATGTGATTCGGATTTTCTGAAAAATATGTGCCTTAAATGGTTAATTCGTGCAGAACCCATTTATCCTATACCTTGTCAATTTGTTTCAAATGATCCAATATTGTTGGAATAGTAACGTTAAATCTTGCTGCTAATTCACGCGTACTTTGAGATGTATCCGCTTCCAGTTCTGCTTCCAGCTCATCATTATCCCCCTTGGTCTCAGGTCGTCTATGTCATCATTAGCCACATTAGCCACATTTTCACCAAATGCTTTGTTGATATTTCGAATTATCTGCGCCGCATTGGTTCCACGGCGGAATTCATATTCGAAAATAATACAAATTTTTGACTTATCCATGATTACACAAAAATTACTGTAATAAAGACAACTCGAAAGATAATAAAAAACTAGGACATGCG